AAAAAAATTCCAACAGAAACCCTTGAAGTGCGTTAAAAATGAACCGGTTCTATCGTTTTGCACCGATCGTCAAACGTTTATCGATTAAATCTTGACATATAAGTAGACAACTTCAATAAATTTCACCTAAAATCCATTATTCACAATGCTTTTTCGTACCATATAATTGGTTGTTTCAAATTATTTTCTTACAGGTCGGAAATGTTAAAAATTGTAGTGGTGCTATAGTTATGCTCCGCAGTGTATATCCGCGATAATTCAATTCTCTCGCGAGAAAGCGCTCGAGAAGCTTCGCCACCTGGCGGTAACATTGCAGTACTGCTACGCGCGAGGTATCGCGCGGGCTGAATACGCGCATGCGCGCGCAAGTAGACTGTCGTATACAGGGGTCGCGTGGTCTGCCAAACAGTCGTACACATGAAATCTTTGCATATAAATTACATGTTAATAACGCGCTTCTGAGACATGCTACATAGCCTATGTCCGTCCTAGAGTATGCAGGAATAATGTGTCAAAATTTGAGGAAGATCGGTTCAATAGGTCTTGAGTTTTGCGCGAACATAAAAATCGGCTCTCTCTTTATATAATAGTATAGATACCAAAAATAAAGAAGACATTGTACTTTATTCACAGCTACGTAACATTTTATTTGAAAATACGGTCTGTGCCAATACTTTTGTTCGGCACTGTATGTTGTCGCCTTCATGCGTCGACTGCCAGTCGTTCGTCTTTGAACTGAGTAAATTGTCAATGAATTAACGCTAGGATTGCGACAGCAGAACACACAGATTCAGGAGTCAACAAAGGAGCATAAATTTTTTAACTAGGATTTGCTGATGCAAAGTAAACTAAGAAATTTCAAGGCTGATGTTAACGAATTAATTGTTTGGGACTTTAAACGACGTTTTTAATGTTATTAATGACTCGAATTCACTTTTAAACTAATTTTCTTTATCACGTTATTTGTCATATGAAGTATGATATTTTTGCAATTTGTTTTTGAAACGTTACAAGAACGTATGTGTAATATGTAAATATACTAGATAATTTTCTTCATAAACAGAGCAAATATTTTTTTTTGGGGCAATAGCCTTGAACATTTTTACCATATTTGAGAACTAAAAAAATTGTGAATGTAATGAGAAACGTACCGAATCTGTACACCAAATTGGTCAAATAAATTTTGGAGTATGTTGGAAACCAGTTAAAAAAATACAGCTTTTCCAGAGAAATATGCGTTTAAAGTTTATTCTATCATTTTCGTGAACTAAAAAACTACGAAAAAACAAAGAGTTCCAAAACAGAATATTCTTGGTAAAAATGTAAAAAAAGGAATTGATTTTTTTCAAAGGTTTACACTAGAGTATTTGTCGCTGAGTTTCTCAAGAAGTAGCTGTTTTGGCTGTTTCGAAAACTGCCTGCACTCCAATTAGAGTTATTAACTCCGACATGCAATAGATTCTCAGCGATTATCCGCTTCTTCGTAACCGGTTTCTTTCGCTCAACTTCTGTGAACTCATCAGCGATGGGAAATTATTGTGTCACCGAGAACGACAGAACCCAGTTCTCATGAGTTCTAAGACCCTATGCGTTGGAGATACGTGCGAACAAAACGATTTAAAAGAGTTACAAAGAACGAACGATCTAGTTGGATATAAAGGGATCGAAATGGAACAAAATGGTGGAACAAAGAAATAAAAATTACGTGACTGTTTTCTAATAGTCAACATAATTTGCCTTTATGCGTGAATTAATTGTTATTAATTTATAGAAAATTCTATTGGCGTAAGAATATCAAATTCTTGATTATTCTTTGTTAAATAATTATTAAAAAATTAAATTAAAAAATTTCAAAACATTCTCAAAAAATTATTTTTAGCTGCGGGGGTCAGTTAGAATAATTTTTGGTGAATAGACATACCCTCGAAATCCTACCTACTTTCGAGAAAAAAAATTCGAAATGGTGTGAAATATTTTGACAAAATTAAAAAATTTCAAATCGTTTAAAAAAATTATATTTTGTTACAGGGGTTAATTACAAGTATTTTTGGTGAATAGACATACCCTTAAAATCCTACCCACTTTCGAGAAAAAAAATCGAGAAGGTGTGAAATTTGTCGACAAAATTAAAAAACATTGAATCGTCCTAAAAAAATTATTTTTAGATACAGGCGTCAATTACAATCATTTTTTATGCATAGACATACCTTCAAAATCCTACCCACTTTCGAGAAAAAAATTCCTTACCGAAAATATAATCTGAAATGGTTCCCGAAATTTTATGCGAATTTTTGAAACATCATAACTCCCGAACGAATTGTACGATTTTAATGTTTCAAAATGCAAACAACGCGTATTTTGGTGAGGAATACGTGGAAATTCCAAAAATATTCGAAAAGTTGTGCCTTCACCGCGTAAAATGAGAAACACTCCATAAAAATGGTCCAATATTCAAACAGCCATAACTCCTACAATAGTAAAGGTATCTCATTGAAATTTTTTTCTGAAGTAAAGCTCATGTGTATCTACAAAAAAGTATTAGACAACATTTCTGTAGAGTGTCAAACAAATTTATTAAAAATGAAAAACAAATATTTAAGATAAATCGACAAGGGGGCTAGGTGCTTAAATTTTTAGCGGACAAAAAAAAATTTCAAATCGTTCTAAAAAAATTATTTTCAGTTGCGGGGGTCAATTGCAATCATTTTTGGTCAATACACGTACTCCCAAAATCCTACGCACTTTCGAGAAAAAAATTCGCGTAGATGTGAAATTTTTCGGCAAAATTAACAAAATTTCGAATCGTCTTAAAAAAATTATTTTCAGTTGCGGGGGTCAATTGCAATCACTTTTGGTCAATACAATTATCGCCGAATTCCTACCCACTTTCGAGAAAAAAATTCTTTACCGAAAATATAATCTGAAATGGTTCCCGAAATTTTATGCGAATTTTTGAAACATCATAACTCCTGAACGAATTGTACGATTTTAATGTTTCAAAATGCAAACAACGCGTATTTTGGTGAGGAATACGTGGAAATTCCAAAAATATTCGAAAAGTTGTGCCTTCACCGCGTAAAATGAGAAACACTCCATAAAAATGGTCCAATATTCAAACAGCCATAACTCCTACAATAGTAAAGGTATCTCATTTAAATTTTTTTCTGAAGTAAAGCCCATGTGTATCTACAAAAAAGTATTAGACAACATTTCTGTAGAGTGTCAAACAAATTTATTAAAAATGAAAAACAAATATTTAAGATAAATCGACAAGGGGGCTAGGTGCTTAAATTTTTAGCGGACAAAAAAAAATTTCAAATCGTTCTAAAAAAATTATTTTCAGTTGCGGGGATCAATTGCAATCATTTTTGGTCAATACAAGTATCCCCAAAATCCTACGCACTTTCGAGAAAAAAATTCGCGTAAATGTGAAATTTTTCGGCAAAATTAACAAAATTTCGAATCGTCTTAAAAAAATTATTTTCAGTTGCGGGGGTCAATTGCAATCACTTTTGGTCAATACAATTATCGCCGAATTCCTACCCACTTTCGAGAAAAAAATTCCTTACCGAAAATATAATCTGAAATGGTTCCCGAAATTTTATGCGAATTTTTGAAACATCATAACTCCTGAACGAATTGTACGATTTTAATGTTTCAAAATGCAAACAACGCGTATTTTGGTGAGGAATACGTGGAAATTCCAAAAATATTCGAAAAGTTGTGCCTTCACCGCGTAAAATGAGAAACACTCCATAAAAATGGTCCAATATTCAAACAGCCATAACTCCTACAATAGTAAAGGTATCTCATTGAAATTTTTTTCTGAAGTAAAGCCCATGTGTATCTACAAAAAAGTATTAGACAACATTTCTGTAGAGTGTCAAACAAATTTATTAAAAATGAAAAACAAATATTTAAGATAAATCGACAAGGGGGCTAGGTGCTTAAATTTTTAGCGGACAAAAAAAAATTTCAAATCGTTCTAAAAAAATTATTTTCAGTTGCGGGGGTCAATTGCAATCATTTTTGGTCAATACAAGTATCCCCAAAATCCTACGCACTTTCGAGAAAAAAATTCGCGTAGATGTGAAATTTTTTGGCGAAATTAACAAAATTTCGAATCGTCTTAAAAAAATTATTTTCAGGTGTGGGGGTCAATTGCAATCACTTTTGGTCAATACAAGTATCCCCGAATTCCTACGCATTTTCGAGAAAAAAATTCAAGTAGGTGGACAAATTGCCGTTCTACAGCCGTAACTTTGAACGTTAATAACTTTTTAACGAAGCCTCCATCAACAAATTAGTATTCTTGATTTTCGTTTTATTTTGGTCTCTAGAATCGCCCATTAAAATTTTTTCCAGGGGTTATTTGAACAATCTATATAAAAATAGCTTTATGTAAACATTTATCTACATAAAATTTTATTCAAAATTATTTGAATAGTGTTTAATAGGGTGTTTAATAGGGTATATATTTGAGCCTTTATAAGTCTAAAAAGTAATGAAAGTAACAACGTAGGTTCGCATGGCTCAGCGAGGAAGCACATCACATAGTAAACGGTAGGTCCCGAGTTCAAATCCCGCCCCCCAAGCAGTATAAAAATTTCTGAATGTAACAAGGTTTTTTCGAAGACAAAGTACAATAATTTCCTGAAGCAGTGTACAGAAAGTAGTTGATATATATATAGAGATTAATTTCTTGTATAACTTTTTCTTAAATTTAAAGGTTTTATTGAATGTTATTCAAATATCTATTTTATATTCTCCGAATATTTAGCTTATATGTTCTAAACATTAAATTTATATTTCTTGAACATGTATACAATATTACATCTAATATTTATCTAATATGAAAAAGTGTGGCTCAAAAAATATTTTTCCAATATTCGAAAAAAATATATAACCAATATTTTTGTGCTACTAGGGTAGCTTTTGCGGACCTAACCTAAAAGAACGAAGACTTTCGGGTGTTAGAGAACGGAATTAGTCGCGGAATTGTGATTTTTTTGTCTCACCTCGGAGTTGAAATGCGACGCTGGTTTTATCTTTAAGGTATACGCCGTGTCACGGAAAGGCATAGAAACGGGCTTTGGTCCGACCTCTTTGTGGCTACGTGGGTGGAATAGGAAGTCGTGCATTAAATCCGAACCTCCACCTTTCAGCGCTTAAACGTTTCTCAAATGGAATGTACAGGAGATACCGGCTTGCACCAGCACGCTCCGCGCACAAAAGCCAGATCGTGATTGCGCTCATTTTTCAGTTAACACTCGTGGAATTCTCGGCTTCTTTCTTGCCTGGCCTGCTTCTGCAAGCGCCCGTTTCGACACGAACCGTTTGATCGAAAGCGCGCCGCGCAGAACGTAATCGACTATTCGACCGAAATACAGACCTCCAGCAGCCGTTGTGAGTTTTTTTTTTTTTTTTACGTCTGAAATGTCCATTTTTTAATTGTTAACATTTGCTCTATACGCATTAGGCTGAATCGCACGTAGACTGCAAACATTTTTACACAAAAACTTGTTTTCATCCTGTTATGCATTTACCAATAACAGTGTTTGAAAAATATAGTTGTTTCACTTCACGGTGGAGTATTTTTTCGTTCACTCTTAATTATCAGGATGTAATTGTTAAAATCGATAGAATACGAAATAATGTCTCACTTCACGGTGTAGTATTTTTTCTACTAAAGTGACTAAACTATTATTGTAAAAAGTTCGATGTTTCGTCTTGTATATTTTTGGGGCCCCTTTAGGGATTCTTAACATGTCAAGGAACCGTTAGATTCTTTAGAAGATTCGAAAATATCAATAATTATTGTCACATTTTACTAGAATTTAATCGCGTAATGTAAATCCGAAATTACTATTAATATTACTTGCACGACTGATAACTTGGCCACGGTAAAGAATTTAATATCTTCGTAAGTAAAAATTCATATCACGTTGAACAAATAATTTTTCTGAATTTAAATAGTCACTTATATTCTTTTACAGTGTCACAGTGTTTGTAAATATAATTATTTTTATATGCAGACATAAATATTTTTTATTATATGCAACATTTCGATTGTTAGTTTTAATTTATATATGTATACAGGGTGTTCGGCCACGTCAGGGAAAAATTTTAATGGGAGACTGTAGAGGCCAAAATAGGGCTTAAATCATGTTCATACATATATGAAGGTCGCCTCGAAAGAAATGCACAAACGCGATAGAGACTTTATTTAATTTAAAATAATGTTTATATAGTCTTTCAATGTAATTTTCTTGATATTTTTTGACTGATTGCCAGCGTTTAAAAAGGTTTTAAATACCAGTTAATTTTATTTTGGAATTAAGTGAGTATTCCAGAACCTTCAAAAAATCGTATTATTTTAAATTTCATTTTCTGAAAGTAAGTAAGCCGAAGTTGCAGAAATCCTTGAAGATGCAACATCAATTTCATGTTATATAAACGGTGACATATAACAGATACCTGACGAGTTGTCCAAAAACGACGAAATTAAAAATCGACTAACAAGGAACCATCGCGAACGGTCCGGCTTCGATTTTGATGAAACTTTGTACACTTATAAAGCAGCCAAAAATAATCGACACGTATTTTTTTTTAGCTGCGGTAACTCGAGTTTAAGGGGTGAAACCACCCCTTGAAGTTTTGGCTCGAAACGGCTATCTCGAAAACGGAAAGAGATACAAAAAAATTGTTAATGGGCGAGGTTGATGGTTTCTTATGTACAATAACATGGTGTTAAAAAATTTAAAAAAATACAATTTGTTTATAACAAAAAAAAATTTATTAACTTAATTTTTCATTTTATTGAAATTTTCATAATCACAAAAAATGACGAGCATTTTATTCCAAATCCATTGGTATGCGATTTTTTAAAATTGCCTCCTACAGTTTTGCAGATTTTGATGATTTACATCTTGCGCGCACATCCATTATGGTAGTAGCCGTTCTAACTTTGATTTTAATGAAGCACTGTAGGCTTGCACTACTTCTAGAGGACAAAATCGGGAAAAATACAAGAATACCAATTTGTTGATGGAGGCTTCGTTAAAAAGTTATTAAAAAATGAAATTAAAAAATTTCAAATCCTCCAGGAAAAAATTATTTTCGGTTGCGGGGGCCAATTACAATCATTTTTGGTCAATCCATATACCCACGAAATCCTACGCACTTTCGAGAAAAAAATTCCTAATCGAAAATGTAATTTATGGCCAGAAATGATGTCCGAAAATTTCATGCGGATCTTGAAAATGTCATAACTTCTGAACGGATTGACGGATTTTAATTTTCAAAATTGCAAACGACGCGTATTTTAATCAAGAATACGTAGAAATCGCAAAAATATGCAAAAAGTTGATCCTTGACCCCGCGAAATGAGAAAAACCCCATAAAAATGGTCCAATCTTCAAACAGCCACAACTCCTACAATAGTCAATATATTTCAATGAAACTTTTTTGTGAAGTAGAGCTCATAGGTACCTACAAAAAAGTACTAAACAAAATTTCCATAGGACGTCGAACAAATTTGTTAAAAATGGAAAACGAATTTTTGAGAAAAATTGACTAGTGCCTAAATTTTTCGGCGAAAAAAAATTTCAAATCGTTTTAAAAAAATTATTTTTAACTACGGAGATTAATTACAATCATTTTTGGTGAATAGACATACCCTCGAAATCCTAACCATTTTCGAGAAAAAAATTCCTCATCGAAAATATAATTTCAGGCTAGAAAAGTCACTCTTTGGAACGTCATAACTTTTGAATGGATTGAAGGATTTTAATGTTTCACGCGGCAAACAACGTGTATTTAGATGAAGAATATGTAAAAATTGCAAAAATATGCAAAAAGTTGATCCTTGACCCCGCAAAATGAGAAAAACCCCATAAAAATGGTCCAATCTTCAAACAGCCACAACTCCTACAATAGTGAATATATTTCAATGAAACTTTTTTCTGAAGTAGAGCTCATAGGTACCTACAAAAAAGTACTAAAGAAAATTTCCGTAGGACGTCGAACAAATTTGTTAAAAATGGAAAACGAATTTTTGAGAAAAATTGACTAGTGCCTAAATTTTTCGGCGAAAAAAAATTTCAAATCGTTTTAAAAAAATTATTTTTAACTACGGAGATTAATTACAATCATTTTTGGTGAATAGACATACCCTCGAAATCCTAACCATTTTCGAGAAAAAAATTCCTCATCGAAAATATAATTTCAGGCTAGAAAAGTCACTCTTTGGAACGTCATAACTTTTGAATGGATTGAAGGATTTTAATGTTTCACGCGGCAAACAACGTGTATTTAGATGAAGAATATGTAAAAATTGCAAAAATATGCAAAAAGTTGATCCTTGACCCCGCAAAATGAGAAAAACCCCATAAAAATGGTCCAAACTTCAGACAGCCATAACTCCTACAATAGTGAATATATTTCATTGAAACTTTTTTCTGAAGTAGAGCTCATAGGTACCTACAAAAAAGTATTGGCCAACTTTTTTGTAAGGCGTCAAACAAAATTATTAAAAATGAAAAACGAATTTTTAAGAAAAATCGACAGGGTAGGAGCCTAAATTTTTCAGCGAAAAAAAAAAATTTCAAATCGTTCTAAAAAAATTATTTTCAGTTGCGGGAGTCAATTTCAATCATTTTTGGTCAATATATATAACCCCGAAATCCTACGCACTTTTGAGAAAAAAATTCGAGACTGTGTGAAATTTTTCAACAAAATTGAAAAATTTCAAACCATTCTGAAAAAATTATTTTCGGTTGCAGGGGTCGATTATAATCATTTTTGGTCATTACACATTCCCCCGAAATCTTGGGCATTTCGGAGAAAAAAATTCAGTACGGGCGGAACTTTAAACGTTAATAATTTCTTAACGAAGCCTCCATCAACAAATTGGTATTCTTGTATTTTTCCCGATTTTGTCCTCTAGAAGTAGTGCAAGCCTACAGTGGTTCATTAAAATCAAAGTTAGAACGGCTACTACCATAATGGATGTGCGTGCAAGATGTAAATCATCAAAATCTGCAAAACTGTAAGAGGCAATTTTAAAAAATCGCATACCAATGGATTTGGAATAAAATGCTCGTCATTTTTTGTGATTATGAAAATTTCAATAAAATGAAAAATTAAGTTAATAAATTTTTTTTTGTTATAAACAAATTGTATTTTTTAAAATTTTTTAACATCATGTTATTGTACATAAGAAACCATCAATCTCGCCCATTAACAATTTTTTTCTATGTCTTTCCGTTTTCGAGATAGCCGTTTCGAGCCAAAACTTCAAGGGGTGGTTTCACCCCTTAAACTCGAGTTACCGCAGCTAAAAAAAAATACGTGTCCATTATTTTTGGCTGCTTTATAAGTGTACAAAGTTTCATCAAAATCGAAGCCGGACCGTTCGCGATGGTTCCTTATAAGAAGTTAAAATCTTAGTGAAGTGAACTAATTTGAAAAAAAATACACCACGAAGAGAAAGTAGACAATTATAATAACACTTTGATACATTCGTATTTTCTTTGTTAAATACGACTATCAAATAATTGGAAGCATAACTACATTCATACATAAGTGATTTACAATGTACAAAAAAAACTGAAAGAACTCGTATTCATAAAGTGTTTAAACGAAATTAATTACTTTTATAATTAACAAAGCACATCTTTACAGTAGATAGTTAAAGTTATTTAGTTGAACAATATTTATTTTCCGGCAGGTACATTCAAACAGCTGACAAAATTGCTCGATACATGTTATTTACATTTTTCCATTTGTATCAAAAGATTTTGTAATATAAATTATTTTTTGATCTCTTATAAAGTATTCAATAAATAGTTTATTCAAAAAATTATTCTTTTATTTACATGTTATACAGGGTGTTCGGCCACACCTGGGAAAAATTTTAATGGGAGATTCGAGAGGCCAAAATAAGACGAAAATCATGAATACTAATTTGTTGATGGAGGCTTCGTTAAAAAGTTATTAACGTTTAATGTTCCGCTCGTAATGAATTTTTTTCTCGAAAGTGGGTAGTATTTTGAAGGTATGTATATTCACCAAAAATATTTGTAATTGACCCCCGCAACCGAAAATAATTTTTCCAGAACGATTTGAAATTTTTTCGAAATATTTCACACCCTTTCGAATTTTTAATCAACAGATATTATGCGTTGCAAAAATTCGTAAACATATTTAAATATGTAATAAATATATCTACGAAACCTGGAATTAATCGCTCTTTGATAGCCCTAAAAAAAAAATCACAAACATATTTTATTCTTGCCTCTCAAATGTCTGCGACTGTAATCGTCGTCGATTCGTTTTTAGTGTTCCGATGGAACGATTAGAAACGCACGATTTTTATGGAACTATTAGGAGAATAGCGAGGAACG